GGGGTGGGTTCCTCCCACTCCCTTGGCGGCTCCAGGGTCGCAGACAGGGACCGAGGCGAATTTAAAGAGTATGAGAGGGACGGAGACAGAGGTGGGATTGTTGAGTCAGCTGGAAATGGATGGAGAGGGGACAGGGATGGGACACTTGACTGGACCGAGACTGCGAGGGAGTGGGGGGGTTTGGTTCCTCTCCAAAGCCGACCCCAGTTTTCTGCGAGGTGACCCCAGGAATCACATTGCTAGGGGCGTGAGACAATCAAGGAGCATTAACAAGCAGGTCCCGTGTGGGTAGTTGGAGGCCTACCCTGCTGGGGACTCAGTGTGCAGACCACCCCTGAGAATTGTCCCTGCGAAGAGGGTGGGTATCCCTCCAAGTCCTGTCCCTCGTCGGGGAGGGCACTTCAGGTCCACTGGGACACAAGTCAAGCCGATATCAACTGTCCCTTTTTATGAATATATCTTACCAGGTTGAGGGAGTTCCTTTCCATTCCTACTTTGATGAGAGTTTCTGTTGTGAGTGGATGTTTCATTTTCTCAAATGCTTTGTCTGTATCAATATGTATTATAATGTGGTTTCAACAAATGAATTGGGGAGGGGCATAAACATTCAGTTTAATATGACCCAGGGAAGGATTTCTTAAATACAACCTGCAAATCAAAACTTATATAAGAGGTAAATTTGATGATATCAAAATTTAAATTTTCATCTGACAAAACATTCCTTAAATGAGAAACTCTGGATTGTGAAACACATATGATGGAGAATGGATTTGTACCAAATATAAGAAAGACAAAAAACTTATGGAGATCTGTTGAATAACAATGAGAATAAACTTAACACCGCTGAACTGTCCACTTAAAATGATATATTTTATATTATGTGTTTTTTACTCAAATTAAAAGAACAGAAGAGGCTATTTTATGACCAATAAATATATGAAAATATGCTCAACTTTGCAAAAATCAGGGAAATGAAAATTAAAACAATGGAGAAGCACCATTTTCACTCCCCCTCCAAAACTTAGGATGAATTGAGATGTGACTGAATCAAGTGCTGGTGAGAGGAAATGGTATTTTTATTTGCTCACAATGGGAGTATAATTGGTACACTCACTACGGAGAACATTTTTGCATAAAAAATTGTAAAATAAATATAAAAATTACATAAAACTATAATAGTAAAATTAAAAGCATGCATATAATTCAGAAATTTCATATCAGGGTAAATCCCCTTGAAAAATTCTAGTTGGAGGGAATGGCTAAAGAGAAGATAGGAGAGGAAGTGAGCAGTGAGGGCCGGATACACGAGACAAAAAGCTGAAATAACAACTGGAGTGCAGATGCCGTCAAAGGTGCGGGATTCGGAGGGGAGGCAGGGAGGTCTCTTGGTCCCGCACTGTGGGTCACTTGAAAGTAATCTCAACGGAACAGCGGGTGAAGAACAGGCCGTCCTTGCTCATGAGGCATCAGCTGGCCTCTGGGCTGCATCTCCTGCCTGGTGCACCAAGCCGGGCACAGACGTTGTTGCCTCCAATGGAAACCAGTGACTTTCCGAGCTGGTGCCAAGCAGGGATGGGGCCTTTTTGGAAAATGAGAATGGTTATGGCGTAAGAGGTGCAGGTACAGTTGAGCAGGACTAGCAGCTCTCTGCCGAGTCTGAGTCAACAACTCACGTATGAGTGGAGGTGTAAAGAACTTTATTAACGACGTACCATTTGGAAGAGGGGGTATAGCTCAGGGGTAGAGCATTTGACTGCAGATCAAGAGGTCCCCGGTTCAAATCCGGGTGCCCCCTTCCAGAGTCTCTTTTCCTGTTTGAGCTAAACAGGCAAAATCAGTTCTATGCTGGACATTCTCTAGTCGCCTACAGGAGGAGGCTGGCCAGAGCCTATGACATGGCACATCTGTGGCCATCCCTTCTCATTCAGGATCCAGTCAGGCGCCGGGCAGGACCTTGAGGACCAAGACCAAGACCAAATCCATCTTTAGGGCCCTCTCTGTGGGTCTGTTTCCTGGAACCAATTTCAATACCATTCAGGGGCCAGTCCAGAGACAAAAACTGAGCCAGTTATTTTAACAGAATTTTAATATAAATAACTGCTAACCAGTATATCAATTTCCTGTAGCTTCTGTAACGAAGCACCACAACATGGGTAACATGGGTGACATAAACAATAGAAATTCATTTTCTCCGAGTTCTAGACGCCAGAGTCTGAAATCAGGGTGTCAGTGGGCTGTGCTCTCTCCAAAGGCTCTATGGGTCCTTCCTTGGCTCTTTCCACCTTCCGGTGCTTGTGGGGAGTCCTTGGCCCTCCTTGGCTTGTCGCTGCATCAGTCCAGTCTCTGCCTCTGTGCTCACATGGCTGTCTTCTTTCTGTGTGTCTCTTCTCTTCTTATGACACCATTCACACTGGATTAAGGGCCCGCACTGCTCCGTGTTGGTCTCATCTTAACTAATTCCGTCTTTGACGACCCTCTCCAAATGAGGACACATTCCTGCACACTGGGGGCTAGGAATTCAACATATCATCTGGGGGACACAATTCAACCCACAACAACCAGGAATTACAAGTGAGAGGGTAGAAAGGGAAGACTCAGTGCCATAGAGGTGGTTTCTGTAGAAGCAGCCACCACTCCAGGGCTGGGGACAGACAGGAGAGGAGAGCTTGTTAAATCTTACAGGCTCGGGGAGCGTCTCGGGCTCAGGGACTCAGATCCCTAAGCTGCTGTCCCTGGAGAGTCACGACGAAGCTGGGCCTGTGAGCACCAAACTGCACTCGGCAATCACGGTTGC